AATATCAGCTTTGCTTAGGGATTAGTTTTGCACTCATTAGATATTTTAAAAAACAATATCAGCCTACGGCAGGGCTATTCAACTGGCAGCCCACAGGCTAACTTTGGCCTTAGAAGGACTAGGATGAGGCCCGTGGATCATTGCAAACTGTACTGTATTAAAAAAAAATTTTCTGCTGGGGCTCAGGCCTCTGGCCCATGACGATCTCCCTTTTTAACATTTGAGCCCCTGAGTCAATTTATTTCATTAGCCCTGGCTTAAGGGTTAGATTTGCACTTATTAGCTACTTTGCTATAAATGTCAGCTTTGCTTAAGGATTAGATTTGCACTCATCAGCTACTTTGCTAAAAATGTCAGCTTTGCTTTAGGGTTAGATTTGCACTCATCAGCTATTTTGCTAAAAATGTCTGCTTTGCCTAAGGATTAGATTTGCACTCATCAGCTACTTTGCTAAAGATGTCTGCTTTGCTTAAGGATTAGATTTGCACTCATCAGCTACTTTGGTCAAAATGTCAGCTTTGCTTATGGTTTAAATTTGCACTGATCAGATACTTTTCTAAAAAATAGCTTAAAGGTTAGTTTGCACTCATCAGCTACTTTGCTGAAAATGTCAGCTTTGCTGAAGGATTATTTTAAAATGCAATTAAAGTACTTGATATCTCATCACCACTATGTACTATGCCAGTCTTCTTCTAAGCATGCACTGGTTGTAAACTCTACCTGAAAGTTCTAGTTTTTCATCCACTTCTAGATTTTGGTCTTCTTCCATAACTTGAGTTTTGTGTGCACATCTATTTTACTGATCTGGCTTATTTATATGCAGACTGTTGGTTTATTTGTCTGTCAGGCATGCATTCCACCTTTGAAGGAAATGCCCCATCACTTTTTCTTGTTGGAGGCTGTGGGTCTGTTCTGCCATGAAAATCCTAATCAGATGAACATTCCGATTTTAATAGAAAAAAAATTAACATTCAGCTGAATTTTCAGTATATTAGAAAAGTGAAAACCACTTGAATTGAACACTAAGTGATGTCCATGCATCAAATTGCTCCGCAGGAAAGCAGGAGATGAAAGATTCTGTCAGTGTCTGTAGGGATTTACAGGGCTTGGAAAGTTTCTGTCACTGTCTGCTGGGATTTACAGGGCTTGGAAAGTTTCTGTCACTGTCTGCAGGGATTTACATGCCTTGGAAAGATTCTGTCACTGTCTGCAGGGATTTACATGCCTTGGAAAGATTCTGTCACTGTCTGCAGGGATTTACATGCCTTGGAAAGATTATGTCACTGTCTGCAGGGATTTACATGCCTTGGAAAGATTATGTCACTGTCTGCAGGGATTTACATGGCTTGGAAAGATTATGTCACTGTCTGCTGGGATTTACAGGGCTTGGAAAGATTATGTCACTGTCTGCAGGGATTTACATGGCTTGGAAAGATTATGTCACTGTCTGCAGGGATTTACATGCCTTGGAAAGACAGTTATAAATTCATATTCTTATTTTCTGTTGCTCTGTGCCTTAAGATTAGTGAACGCATTTAACAAATGTCCGTTATTTCCTTGGCTGGCTGTTTTGGAAATAAAACTGCTGATGGCTTTCAGAAAATGGTATGAGAGTCGCACCCTGCAAAAGATCAAGACCTCACCGTATAATGTTCTTGAAAAGACAATGATAGATACAGAAATCCTTTTCAGCCAATCTCTGTTGTGTGGAAGGCACACATTTGAACCAAATTTTGTTGACTGAATAATTGCATTATATTTTTTATACTTTGCCTTGCATGCCATGAATGGTTCTTTTGCTTGTAACTGTATGCTTAGTTTGCATGTTTTTCCTCCTGCTTTCTGCATGATTTTTTAAAAATTAACAAACTTTTTAGACTGTTTGCCTGGTTTGAATTAAAATGAACTTGTTGTTACTATGCTGAGTATTCAGTTTAATATTCTTTGAGTCCTTACGGTCTAGATTGATAATTGTATTAATAAACACTTACATTGCATTTATAAATTAGATATTAGATAGCTAGTAATTAATGTATGCAAGCTGCATCTTATAAAAACTTATAAGGTTCAGATATTAGCTTGTCAGTTTTTCAAACAGAAATTGTGGTGATCCTTCCCCGGTTATTAACTCATTAGAGTCCTGAGAAGCCACACAAAAAAAAACAACGGACACTTCCAGTTTTGTTCAGTTCTTCCTAAATGTCACTTTTCTGACTCACCTATTGCAATTTGTTTACGAGAATTGCTATTGGCTGTTTTTATGCCTGGGCAAATGTTATGGAGGTCAGGATATCAATACATTAACTAACAATGACATTGTAAAGGGGGGGGGGGGGTCCCAATTAGCTAAATTGATTTTTAAAAGCCAAGTTGGCCACATTTTCCCATAAGCCTCACTGATAATGGTCACAGGGTCAAGGCTAGTCATCAGATGCAGGTTTTTTCGGCCCGGGTATTTATTCCACTTAATAATTCACCCTATTCATGTTTATAGATTGCTCCTTTCATGTGTCTTTACATATTTAAAACAAAATATTAACTATAGATAAATACATTTTTAGCGAATTTATTAGTGCGGATACTTGAGTTTGCTCTGACAGAATGGGAGCAGAGAACACGTTAATTACACCATGTCTGAGGTTCAAGGGAAAGAGCCTGTCAAGTTTTAGATTCTGCTTGTGATTAAAAAAAGTTGATGCCACAGACTTATTTTTAAATAGAATTTTTAAAATGTTTTCTGTTTTTCTTTTAGCTTCTTGACATACAATTAAGAGGATTTCTGTTTTAGTGTGTGCTTAAAGCCAGTGTTAATTATTAGTTACATTTTTCAATATTGAAATTTCAAACTCTGTTTAAAAATCATAAGAGTATTAGGAATTGTGGATATTGTTCATTCATTCATTCAGTAGCATGTCCCTCGCGGAACCTCGCTGCCATAACAACCCTCCGGAAAACCTTCCTATCATGAGCAAGATTGTCCTGCGTCTGATACCCCCATCTGGAGATCATCTGCCACATCCTGCACCCATTCTTCTCCTTGGCCTTCCTCTTCCTCTCTTCCCAGGCATATACCCCTCCATTATTGTTCTCTCTAGACCTCCATGACGTTTCAAGTGACCAAAATATTTCAATTTTCTTTGTTTTATATGTCTTTACTAGCCAACCCTCTTCAATATTCAGCTCTTGAAGTATGGATGCATTTGTTCTTTTCTTTACCCAAGATATTCTTAGAACCTGTCTGTAACATTTATATTCAATGCATTTATGCGCTGTTCCGCTTGTTTAGTAAGTGTCCAGGTCTCACAGGCGTATGTTTGCAATGGGAAAGATGCATGCTCTTAAAAATCTGACCTTTGTAATTCTATCTGTACAATTCCATAATTTATTCAGTTGTTTTAGTCTTTGAAGAGCAATTGATAGTCGCCGTTTGATTTCTTTCATTGTGTCACCATTGTTGGTAACCAGTGACCCAAGATATTCGAAATTTTCCACCACTTCCAATCTTTCCTCATTAACATATATTTCCTTCTCCATGGCAGTTTTGTTTGTGGATATTATTAAACATTCAAAATTATTGTTTTGTTTAAAGCTCAGGATGAATGTAGATATTTTAAAAGTAAAGTTTCTGAATCAGCATTTGCAGGAATCTGTGTGCCTAGATTACAGATATCCCACAGTTAATAACCTTTAAATGAAACAACAGTTGCAAACCATAAATTGTCTAACATCAGAACAAGATTAATTTTTTTCAAACCCTAGTAGCTTTGAGATATTTGAGATTCCTGTATGGTTCCGGGGTCCCCATTCGGGGTGGGGGTAGGCCCCACTGCTGCCTTTACAAGCGTGTCATTGCAAGTGACTAATTTAAAGGTTTTCCTTTGAAATCAAAGTGCATCTGCCTGAGAGAAACCAAATTTCTGCATACAAGTAGTGAGCCAGATCTGTAAAAAGTATTTGCATGAAAGTTTCAGTTTTTGGAACACGACTAAAGACTTAGAAGTGGACGAAACTCAGTTTTTGGAACGACAAGACTAAAGACTTGGAAGTGAACGAAACTCAGTTTTTGGAACAAGACTAAAGACTTAAGAAGTGGACGAAACTCAGTTTTTGGAACAAGACTCAAGACTTAGATGTTGATGAAACTCAGTTTTTGGAACAACTTGAACAACTAGAGATTAGAAGTGGACGACAGCCAGAACTTTCCACCAGTGTTTACAGCTGGTGAACGAACGCTAAGAAGAAGAAGAAGAAGAAGAAGAACGAGAACATTTGAGAATTATTTTTTTTAAATTTTTTTCCCCCCCACATACCACAACTCATACAAGATTCAGTTTTAAAATATGGTTTCCGTTTGCCAGTCACATTAGAAAAACTGTTTTCTAGACAAGTAGGCTAACGTATTTATAAAATCAATGAAATGTTTCCCTATTGTGAATTTGATCAAAGAAGGGCACACAATGACAAAGTAGACATTGCACAGTTTATTGTCTGGCCTGCATTTTGCTGTTGAGACGCCAAAGGCACATTATGGGTGGTAAAGTAAATGCAAAACGCTAACAGCAACAATAACAACTAAACAGTGAATGAGGTGACTGGTCGAAAAAAATCCCCCATCAGCCATTGCATATCATATTTTTATTCTGGCTACATTTTTAAAACAAAATGCATTTGAATTATTTACACTACAGTCGTGACCATGGATTTAATGAGATCTGTGGAAGCAACCACTATAAACTGGTTTAGTTCAGAATTGTGGGTACAGAATGGCATGGTTATCACCTTGCATTTACCTTGGTGAAACAGACAATTTTTGAAAGTAGTCAGTTTAGTGTTTCAGTTCAAAGGATTCATTTGTTTGTTTCATTTTAATAAATTGTTACTGTAGCATGCACCTGATCAGATACAGCAAGATATGCCAGGCAGTAAATTGTGCAATCTGTTGTTTATGTCTCCTTTGTTCAAGTAATTTATTCATGTTTTGTGCATCTCCTGTTATTTAGGAGCTAGGGATGATGACAACAGTCACACGACCAGTGTACAATTACAGCACAGAGTCGGTGAGTATGTTTTTGTAAATTATTTAAATCAACACATATTGCAAGTTTGTTGTTGTTGTTGTAAGTTAATGTTCTCCCAGATTAAGCATGAATAGGAAAGGACAGTTTAATGCATTTGCTTGTGATAAAATTGATATTATGGTTATCGCCAAGAAGAAAGAATTATCAAAGTGTGAAATAATATAAAAGGAAACACTCCAAAGCAAGTTGATAGGTACAACTATCTTAGAACAGTTATAACATCTGGTGCAAGATACCTTACCAGAATTAGGACAAGAATTGCCATGGCAAGATGTCTTACCAAAATTAGAACAAGAATTGTCATGGCAAGATGTCTTACCAAAATTAGAACAAGAATTGCCATGGCAAAATGTCTTACGCACCAATTAAAAACAAGAATTGCCTTTAGTCAGAATATGTCGAGCCAAAAAAAAATTAGGAACAAGAATTGCCTTGACAAAATGTCTTACCAAAGTTAGAACAAGAATTGCCTTGGCAAAATGTAAAGGATTATCACGAGATGCAAAAGACTATTACCAATAAAAAGATGTCAACTGCAGTCAGATAAAGGTGGTTAAAGTGTGAAGTATGGACAATATGGATATATGCTAAAATATAAAGAAACTTAGTCATGGCAGGTGTGGTGTCTGTCTGAGAAGAATGCAAAGAATATCATCGAAGGATCGAAAAACAAATTAAACAGTTCTCATTGAAACAGATGAAAATCATAAACTAAATAGAACAGTTAGAGGTGGACATACCAGTGTTTTTGGGACACATGAGAAGAAATAGACTTGAGAACATAGTAACAACTGACAAGACTGATGGAAGAGAGCAAGAGGAAGGCAAAGAGATAAATACCTGGATCTACTGGCCAGATGGATGTGCAAAGACAAATACATTGAAATGGTCTATGGTTAACACCACATGAGCTGGGGTAACATTCCTGAGTATTTCATTATAGCCCTTTAAGGTTGAGTTGATCTGGAAACTGGTTTACAAAATATTGTTGCCTTGAATGGATTTTAGACATGTGACCAGTGGATCCACAAGCAAGCATCCTTGGATATAACTTCATCTCATATGTTACCTTCATTATCTACTCCCTTTACTGTTTTATTCTTCCTTGTCCCTCATTTCTCTTCTTTCTACTACTTTTCCATTGATCACTAAATCTCTTCTTCTTCTTAGCATTTGCTCGCTGTAAGAGTTCTGGTTGTTCGTCCACTCCTGGACATTGCTGTTGATCCAGAACTTGAGTTTTATGTACACACCCATTTTACAGATCTGGCTTATTTTTTTGCAGACTGTTTTTTCCTTGCCTCTCAGACAGATTCACTCTGACTTTGAAGGAAAACATTAGTTACCTTCTATGACATACTTGTTAGCGGGCAGTGGGTCTAAACACCCGTAATTAGTTACCTCCTGTGACATACTTGTTAGCGGGCAGTGGGTCTAAACACCCCTAATTAGTTGCCTCCTGTGACATACTTGTTAACTAACAAGCAGTGGGTCTAAACACCCCTTATTAGTTGCCTCCTATGACATACTTGTTAACTAACAAGCAGTGGGTCTAAACACCCCTTATTAGTTGCCTCCTATGACATACTTGTTAACGGGCAGTGGGTCTAAACACCCCTAATTAGTTGCCTCCTATGACATACTTGTTAGCGGGCAGTGGGTCTAAACACCCCTTATTAGTTGCCTCCTATGACATACTTGTTAGCGGGCAGTGGGTCTAAACACCCCTTATTAGTTGCCTCCTATGACATACTTGTTAACGAGCAGTGTGTCTAAACACCCCTTATTAGTTGCCAGAAACCGCGTTCAGCCATTAGACCATATTTATGGCCAGGCTATATTGCAGCCCCTGGCAAGAGCTAGGGCGAGGCTTCAAAATAAAGAAAAATTGCATCTAACAAGGAGATGGTTGAATAATAATGTGACACTTAGAAAATTCACTGCTATATAGTAGTCTCAATAGAGACAAAAAGACAGGTGTATAAATGCAGTTTTCTACCAACCTTGTGCTGTCAGTGTCAGACTAGGTCATTGACTAAAGAATACGAAAGAAAACTAACCACCTGTGAAATGATGAGCTTGTGAAAGGGCGGGGATATAAACTAGAATAGGAGATCGTGAGGAATTAGAAGTAACAAATAACTATTGGAACAAAGAAGAGGAAGACGCAAAACCAATAGATTTTACAACCAGTTATTATTGGCCTGGCATATTTCACTGTATTCTCGTCAGATGCATACTACAGTAACAATTCAAATTACAATGGGGAAACATTCGCTTTATAAGTAACTGATTATTAGAACACCTAAAATTGGAATTCATTGAGAAACAAAGCCTGAAATTGTGTTGACCATTATAATGAAATGAATCCAATAATGCCATGCAACGAGAGTGACGAACATAAAAGTAGAAAAAACTCAAGAGGGTAGTAGATGACCACGAAGGAAGATGGTTTGAGGAGGCACTACAGCTGATTCCTATCGTTCATTAAACCTGTCAATAACTTCACAGCTTTTACCACGGGCAAAACCCCAGTTGTGCCCTAGCCTCATGAAGCTGAATCATGTGTTTAACCTAAGCCGACGCCTTAACGGCCGCCAAAGCAAGCAGGAATGGACAAAGCAAAGAATGTGCTGTATATATCACCATATAAGTTTAACAGTTGTAAATTAAGATTCTCCTCTATAATTATTTTACTGTGGTTCCCAACCAGACTATTCCCCTTGGAGTGATGGCCATTGATGTGACCCACAGCTCATCTTGAGGCAAAAACTCTACTCCATTCTCTTTAAGGTGAAGATTTTCCAATCAAAGTTTTTTACTTTTTTCAAATAATCTTTTTTTTTTTTTTTTAATTTTTTCCCCTTTCCGTCTCAATTCTGGTTTTGGAAATGGACTTGGATGTTATTTTAAGTGCAGTGATTTCTGCATGCAGTTTGTCTGTAGCTGAGGTTTTTTCACATTCACCCAGATCTGTGCTGGGGGGTTATCATTGTAAGCGCCACTACTACTGTAGTATATATGCCAATGCATCATCTCAGATTGTTTACATGTTATTTAGAACAAGGTCCATTTATTGTCAACTAATTCTACATGTGGACATGTCATTTTTAGCGTGCATTTGTCAGTCAGGAAAAAAATAACACATGCTTGCTCTCTTCTGTCCTGGTATTCCAGTTGTGATATCTGACTAATGTAGGGTGTTTGATAAATGTCCCCTTTAGAAGCATTTTTTGTTTGTTTGTTTTAACTGCTTAATAATGAATGTTAGTTTGCTTAGGACTCTTATGTGAGACTCTTGTTGGGGACTTTTGTTGTAGACTCTTGTTGGGAATTGTTGTTGTAGACTTTTATTGGGGACTGTTGTAGACTCTTGTTGGGGACTTTTGTTGTTGTAGACTCTTGTTGGGGACTATTGTTGTAGACTCTTATTGGGGACTGTTGTAGACTCTTGTTGGGGACTTTTGTTGTTGTAGACTCTTGTTAGGGACTTTTGTTGTTGGGGACTGTTGTTGTAGACTCTTGTTAGGGACTTTTGTTGTTGGGGACTGTTGTTGTAGACTCTTGTTAGGGACTGTTTTTGTAGACTCTTGTTATGGACTGTTGTAGACTTGTTGGGTACTGTTGTTGGGAACTCTTGTTGGGGACTCTTATTGGAGACTGTTGTTGGAGCTCTTCGCGTGCTGTTGAAGATGGGGACAGAGCGCTTATGGGAGTGTCCCAAAAGCTGTGATGTCAATTCTTAATTCAAAATCTAAAAAAAACAGAAATAATTTGCTAGAAAAAAATAATTAAATATACATGTCACATACAATCAGCGAATCACAGGTAGTCCCACCACATCAAACCACTTTGTACTTAGCGCAGACCAAATGGGAAAACCATGCAAAAAAAGGAAGCAGCAGAATTAGGAAATGATAACAAACTTACACAGAGCATAGAAAGAGTACCCAGAAGATAATCTCCACCAAAAAGTCCCTCCAGTAAATAGAGGAAGAGATGTCAACAAAAAGTTGAAGTTGTCATGTGTCTGTTCTGCTTAGAATTGCACAATTTTGTAAAAGACTATTTGAGTATGGCAATTCTATATTTTTGTGTATCTGCCTCTGTGTTCCTTACTTTTACAAGTTAGTAAATTTTCCTAAGTATATGTTAATAGTATTTGATAAGTGCAGATATACTTTGTTGTGCCTGAAAATGGATGCTTTCTTCCAAGTTAGAAATAATTTTGGCTTAGTTGTTTGCCTGGCTGGCAACATACTCTAGTTTTCACCCCTTTTCGTGAAGAATTTTATTTCTGAAGTGTTTATTTGCTGAAAACTTTTACTGCCTCCCCCCCTCCCCCCCAATTAGGTCTATATTGTTAAATATAATTGAATCCTTGAATTTCTGATTTTTTCAGATTGGGCCTAATGGATACTCATTTGCCATCAATCCAAATGGTTATGTAGTTTTCCACCCTAATTTGTATACTTCCGTGAGTATTCATAACACACTGTTAATTAATATTGTACGCAGAAATGTCACACATAATTTTATTTAAAAAATCCAGGGGATTGAAACTTGTGACCACCAGGCAGCGTGGCAAGCCTGCTAGCCATTGCATCAACATGGCCTGCAAGTGTCTCTCTCTCTCTTTCTCTCTCTCTCTCTCTCTCTCTCTCTCTCTCTCTCTCCCTCTCCCTCCCTCTCCCTCCCTCCCTCTCTCCCTCCCTCTCTCTCTCTCTCTCTCTCTCTCAGCCTAATATTATGGAAGTAACCACTAAATACAAATGGAGCAAAGAATTAACTGTTTTCACTGTCTTTAACTATGAAAAAAAAAAAAAAACATATGTTATTGTCCAGACAGTGATGTGGAGCAAACTAATGTCACTTTTACGTCTTTATGACATCAAAAAGACCAATTTAAAAAAATGTCACCCTAAAAATATCTTTTAAAAATTTGAAGTAAATCTAATTACAGCCTGCACATTTACACAGTGAGTAGTTGAAAGCAGTATCAAAACAGTTACACAGGCACAGTGACCACTGCCTAAAGACATCATGACATCAGAAAACCTGACAAGCCGAGATCTCAGCACTTACAGGGCCATAGGGTTAATTGACATTTATTCAGAAGGAAAAAAAAAATTAGTCTCACATACAGTTAGTTGTTGTTTAAGATGAAATTAACCTCTGTCCAGGGTTTTCCACACAGACACTCCTGACATATTCTCAGTTTGTGGTATCAAGAAATAGAGAATAAGAAGTCAAGTTCTTTGGATTCATCATTCATTAATTGAATCCAGGGACCATTTCATTGCTCTGTGAAGTGCTCACATCTCTTTCGTCAGTGGAAAAAAAAATTAATCTGAGCTCTCTGCTGTAATTGTGAGGCCTTGAAAGGAACCTGGGGTGGGGTGTTCAGATCAGAATCAACACATACTGTATATATTTTATAATGAATAACTGTCATAAAGTGCTGACTTGTGTGGGTGATCATCTTTGTCCACTTTTTACAATCTCTAAAAGAATGTGTCACTTTGTGTGGCAACACTTTTGAAGTCCATGATGAGAGGCTGTCAAAAATCTTCTAATATTTTCCTCTGTCTGTCTTTCCGTAATCTTTCTAGTTGTTATAACATGTTCCAGTTTTCTTATCTCATGTAGCTAGAAAATGACGACTGCCTCTTTCTGATGTGTGCATTTTTAACTTGACAATTTATTAAATATTTATATACCAGAAGATTTCTCAAAAGACTCCAAAAGGTGAGAAACTAAAGAAAGGCATGATTGTTTTTTTTCTTTTTCAAACAGGCATAGACCGTTTTTATGTTAGGTAGCCATATTTCTTTGACATACTAGGCCAAACATAACAGATAATCTGTTGCTTGGGGCACACGGGAAACAGCTGATCTCACATTGTGTGCTGCTTAGGACAGAAAAAGTTAAAGGACAGAAAAAGTTAAAACACATTGATTAACTAAACTAAATACAACCCTACTAAACTGTTTTACTGAGTGACATTCATGAAACACATTGTTTAACAAATACAGTCTTACTAAACTGTTTTACTGAGTGACATTCATGAAACACATTGTTTAACAAATACAGTCTTACTAAACTGTTTTACTGAGTGACATTCATGAAACACATTGTTTAACAAATACAATCTTACAAAACTGTTTTACTGAGTGACATTCATGAAACACATTGTTTTACTAGGGCAAATTCATGACTGAGCCACCCAACGTTGACCTGCTTGAGCTGGAAGTTGATCAGAACAGTAAGGAACTCAATGATGTAAGTAGCATTATTGATCGAGATATTCTTTTGTTGTCCTGTCCAGTGCCAGCATCTTTTCTTCACTTCTTGATGCACTGGAATTTGTTTTAGACATACTTAGCCATGCTTTATTATCCTGTCGCATGATCTGGTAAGCATCAGGCCTGGTCATGAAGCTGCACAGAACCTACTGTGTGAGACCGGGGTCAGACACATGTTGTAGGTGTTTCGTTGCCAGCAGACTCCGTCTGAGTGCCCAGTGGGTAAAGTTGATTTCAATGTGTAAAACCATCAGGAAAGTTAGAAGTTACTGCACATCAGTTATGGTTTATCTTGGATGTTATGATAACATTGAAGTGGATCTGAATATTTGACATAACTACACATGTTCACGCACATTGTTTTAATAATATAGGAAAATGAAAAGTTCTTCAGGTTTAAAAAAAAAACAGAGGAAAAAAAAAAGGGGGGGGGGGGGAACAGAGAGAGACAGAAAGGCAGAGACAGGGACACAAACAGAGACAGGCAGAATGAGACACAGAGAGAGACAAATAGAGAGAGAGAGTCAGAGAAACAGACAGCCAGAGAGAGAGAGACAGACAGACAGACAATTTTCATGTTACTGTGGCACATTAGACATATGATGCTGGGATTATAGTTTGTGTGTGTTTATATGTGTGTGTGTGTGAGAAAAAGAGAGAGAGAGAAACAGACAGACAGACAGACAGACAATTTTCATGTTACTTTGGCACATTTGGCATATGATGCTGGGATTATGGTTTGTGAGTGAGAGAAAGAGAGAGAGAAACAGACAGACAGACACACAGACAGACAATTTTCATGTTACTGTGGCACATTTGGCATATGATGCTGGGATTATGGTTTGTGAGTGAGAGAAAGAGAGAGAGAGAGAGAGAGAGAGGGGCCAAACTTACCTAGGTGGATGTGTTCACTGTCACTTGCTCGACATCTTTGAACATGTTTCTGGTGAATACTCTGTGAGACATCTGACTGCAGCCATGTCAGTCACCATCAATTGTTGCTGCTCCTTCCAACATTATTTCACAAATCAGGTTGAAACAAATGCTACTTCCATCATATATTTCACAGATCAGATTTAAATAAACTCCTTCCAGTTTCACAGATCATACCAGAAATGCTCCTTTCTTCATTTATTTCATACATCAGATTTCAGAAATGCTCCTTCCATTATATATTTCACAGATCAGATCAAAAATGCTCTTTTCATCTTTTATTTCATACATCAGATTTCAGAAATGCTACTTCCATTATATATTTCACAGATCAGATTTTAGAAATGCTCCTTCCGTTATATATTTCACAGATCAGATTTCAGAAATGCTCCTTCCATTATATATTTCACAGATCAGATTTCAGAAATGCTACTTGCATTATATATTTCACAGATCAGATTTCAGAAATGCTCCTTCCGTTATATATTTCACAGATCAGATTTCAGAAATGCTCCTTCCATTATATATTTCACAGATCAGATTTCAGAAATGCTCCTTCCGTTATATATTTCAGAGATCAGATTTCAGAAATGCTCCTTCCATTATATATTTCACAGATCAGATTTCAGAAATGCTCCTTCCATCATATATTTCACAGATCACATCAAAAATTGCTGACTCCATCCTATATTTCACTGATCAGATTAAAAAAAAAAGCTCCTTCTATCATGTATTTTGCAGTTCAGTAATACCATTTTGATCATATATTTTATCACGAATTAAAAAATGTCCATTTCCCATTGATTTCACACATTGGTAACATATATGTGTTGTATTCTTCACACCTTATATTTGAACAGCTGAGATCAGCCATGATTGAAGGTAACAATGGATCGGTGACGATATCCACCTACTTTTTATCCCCTGACCAGGTAAGTGACTGTTACACTTGAAAGAAATGTGCAATAGTGAAAATAAACATGCCTTGATTGCTTTGTTTCACACACTATCAGGTGACTAATTTGGTGGTGTTTACTTCAAAGTTGGGAGTGCATCTGCACCAGAGGTGAACAACCAACTGTTTGTTTACAATATAAAGAGTATGTTTTGTATGAGTTACACTTCAGATGCATCCCTTATCAAAGCTTGACTCTGCAGGTGACTGAAACAAGTCTGCTTTGTAATTTTGTATGACTGTCTGTCTGTCTGCCTGTCTATTTTAACTATCTATCTGTCTATCTTTATCTGTCTAATCTGCCTGTCTGTCCATCCGTCTGTCTGTCTGTCTGCCCGTTCATATATGATACATTGAATTCCAGAGAAATTTGACTAAAAAGCTCAACAAAATGGGAAAGAGGAAAACGTGCACAAAACAACACAACGTAACGTTTCGGCCGGACAGCCTTTTTCAAACACAAGTGAAAGACACAAATGAGGAATGGAGAGTATGTAGATCTCTAAGGGGTGACGTGAACGACGTTTAAAAAAATGTGATGCGGAATAAATGAAATAAAATAAAATAAACGATGGCTAAAAAATATAGTCACAATACTGGGAATAAAAGAAATGCAAGTGTTAATGATACATAAATGATACTGATAAGAAATAGAATAAGGTAATAATATGAAAGAAAATAAAATAATTAACATTTAAAATGTGATAAGATTAGAACTATTTAGATGAAGGTATGTTGGATATTGATACCTCTTGGACTAAGAACGCCAAGGCTGTGGATAAGGCGATTTTCCAAAGCGAGGTGGGTAGTATGATTGCCAGAGCAAGATTTTAATGCTGTGACAGATATGTCATCTTTACCGCTGTGGTCAGGGCTATTAAAATGAAGAGGGATTGTTTTGAGTGTCATCTTGTTGATATCGGAGAGGTGTTCCCGGAAACGATCAGCTAGCTTCCTGCCAGTCTCCCCAATGTATGCCTTGCTGCATCGTTTGCAGATAATTGCATAAATTACGTTGCGGGATTCGCAAGTAAAACGTTCCCTAATTTGAAAAGAACCATTAGGGAAACTGACCGAAGAAGTCTGGACAACGAAAAGACATGTCTTGCAGGTGCTACGTGAGCACTGAGTAGTCCCAAAAGGAAGTGCTGTGTGGATCGGTGGGAGTCGGCTTCGGACAAGTATGTCTTTAAGGTTGCGATCTCGTCTGTAAACTAATCTAGGTTTCTCCCTAAAGATAATCTTGGTGTCCGGATCAGAGCGGAGGATGTCCAAATGACGAAAGAATACTTTGGAAGCAACCACATTGTTAGGGTGAAAAGTCAAGATCAATTTAGGTCCATCATTGGTGGAGTTAAGTTTGGTAGGAAAAGCATCTCTCCTGGTGATTGCTAAAACTTTGTTTAGAGCCCCTTGTAGAATGTGTTCTGGATAGAAACGGGCACGGAAGAATTCAAGAAGTTCAACTGATTTATCAAAGAAGTCAGAATCATCAGAGCACAACCTGCGCAATCGAAGGAGCTGTGAATATGGAATAGAATTTTTACACGGTAGTGGGTGAGAAGACGTATAGAGGAGATAATCCGTGGGTTTGTAGTAGGCTGTGGTTTTCAGACACGGGAAATCGATGCTAATCGTGATGTCAAGAAAGTTAACTGAAGTGGTGGAGATCAGTGAGGTGAATTTGATAGCCGGATTGAAATTGTTGATGTAAGTAATAAATTGGTCAAGCTCAACCATGGACATTTCGGTGATACCAACGCCATCATCTATGTATCTCCTATACACCTCCGGAAACTTGCCCGGGTATGATAAACTGACCTTGTATTCCAGGTGGCCCATAAAGAGGCACGCGTAACTAGGACCCATCTTGGTGCCCATCGCGACCCCACTGATCTGGTCAAAATACTCACCATTGAACTCAAACGAGTTAAGGGTCAGTACCAGTTCGGCAAGGCGTACAAGAACTGAAGTAGGGATGATCGGGTTGGACCTTCTGTCCAAAAAGAACTGGAGTGCTCTAAGACCATCAGAGTGAGGGATAGACGTATAGAGGGAGCATACGTCTATCAGGAAAAGATGATAGGTTTTACCGGGAAGTAATCTGATGGATTTGAAAATGTTGAGGGCATGGTTGGTGTCCTTGACAAATGAAGGGAGACTGGTGACAATCGGTTGGAAAATACTATCTAAAAATTCAGAAAGATACACAGTGGGACAGGAGCATGCAGATACAATGGGACGTCCAGGGTTGTTGGGCTTATGGATCTTAGGCAGCAAGTACATACACGGTTTGCCAAGTTGGCTGTCAAAAACACGCATATTGTTGGCCTGCTTAGGAAGAGTACCCTGTAAAATAAATGATTGTAACGTGTCCTTGACTTTCTTATTGTTGGAGACTGTGGGGTCGTCCCTTCTGGCGGAATAGAAAACGGGGTTTCCGAGTTGGGTACTGGCTTCCTCAATAAAAAGATCCTTCCTCCAAACCACTACAGCGCCCCCTTTGTCAGCTGACTTTATAACAATATCGTTCCTCTTTCTGAGGGAGGAGAGTGCCCGCCATTCACATACATGCATACCGGTGGGTCTCTCTCTCTCTCTCTCTATCTCTCTTTGTCTCTCCCTTTCCTGTCTCTCTGTCTCTCCCTCTCTCTGTCTCTCCCTCTGTATGTGTGAGTGTTGTGTGTGTGAATGTGTGTGTATATGAATGTATGTATTGATGTATATATGTATGGGGGTGTGTATATGGGTGAGCATGTGTGTGTGTGTGTTTGTAAGTGGCTCGGTGGGTGTTAATATATGTGCACATACGCGAGTTTACGCATGTATTTTACCACCCATTCTTTTGGTTTTTTTTCTTGATATTCATCATATGCATATTATTATATAAACATAACGTGCTTTATTGATAAAATACAACTGTTGTGTGAGAGATGGGTATTTGGAAAGGCCAAATGTAAGATGGGTCTGCGTGCCTAATTTGTGACCCTTTGAAAATAAAGTTTGTTTGCTCTCTCTCTCTCTCCCCCCCCCTCTCTCTCTCTCTCTCTCTCTCTCTCTCTCTCTCTCTATCTCTCTCTTTCTCTCTCTCTCTTTCTCTTTCTCACTTACTCACTCACTCATATCACATTAGATTGCATGCTGTTTAAAGTAGGTTCACTTTTCCATGGTTATCAGTTTCTGCATTTGGTTTCATTGTATGAACAACATTTTCTGTTTATTTCAGCGTTATGTCACCAATGATCAAGCAGACTATGCATATGTTTCTATAACTAACACCTCCTTCAGGTATGATTACATGTATCACTATAACATACAATTTAAATGTATTTTGTTGCAATCTTTTCTAAAGCTCCTAAGCGTATTTTTTCTGGCACTAAACATGTAATTGAACTTTTTCAAGTACATAGATGTCTATGAAATCTAAAGTCTAAAGGCTGGCTTTGTAATATATTAACTCTTCAGTTCAAAATAATTGTTATTGAACTCCTTCTGTCCCAGCGAGTCTTCATCTTCTCAGCATTCACCAGCTGTAAATTCCAGTGAATAGTTCTGGTTGTTCGTCCACTTCTGCACTTTAGTCTTGTTCCAGAACTTATTTTGCATGGACATTCATTTTACAGATCTAGCTTTCTTGTATGCAGACTGTTGGTTCCTCACCTCTCTGGCAGATGCTCTCCGACTTTGAAGGAATAGTTGCTGGTTTGTCGTGACTCCTGCTTTCATCAACTACGAATAGCAATTCTAGTCACAGACTGTAGGTGTTGGCACCTTTGGTGGCTGCCTTTTGCGTTTGATGCATGTGCAAGCTTTAGATTTAGACAGGACTGCTGTCTCTCTGACTTTTCACATGGGGCAGTGATGAGTATTTTGTGTGGTTTTTACTGGGCCAGGAGCAGAGCAATGATGGGGGGACCCTGTTGAGATGAAGTCAGAACCCTGACTGATAACCCATAGCCTTAACTTTAACAGCAATGTATACTTAAGTATGAAAAGACCCTCTGGCACAACAGTTTTTTAAACTAATTCGTATTCAAGGTGTGTATATACAATTTATTTATTATACTAATATACAGGGTCCCCTAGTTTTATGACCTAGTTCCGTTCTGACTAACTGGTCAAAAGTTGAACTGGTCGTCATTTGAATTTATATTTTTAACTCTGTTTTCATTCACCCATGTTATAAAATTTTTACATAAAAACACAACAATTCGGTCTATGTGCGTATAATTATTACACATGGGGACATCAGTTCTGGGAACTCTCTGACCCTACCAGTATAGTTATCTTTCTTTCTCTTTTTAAATTTTAGTTCTTTTTTTTTAATGTGTGTTTGACTATTTTTTTTTAAATTTTTGTTTTGTGGTCGTAATTGCAGACATTTTGGGCATATGGTGCTAGCCCTATACTTCTGTAGACCAACTGGTGCACTTTAAGTGATGTGTTCTTTATTACGCTGACCATCTTTAATTTGTGTGTCATTTCCCAGTACATTTTTTAAGATGAGCTGACCTGGAAAGAAAGTCACTGTTAAAAACTGTTCATGGATATTTAGATGTTTGACAACCATGCTGGCAGCATTTAGCCAATTTGCTGCTTCAGCTTCCTGACTTCAGTCATATTGATGACCTGTCCTCCCCCCCCCCCCCCCCCCCCCCCCAAAAAAAAAAATGGCAATTTTGGCCACTTCTGGAAACCGCACCCAGGGCCACTGAATAAAGTTTGTTTTGATTTTGTTTCTCAAATATGTCAGTTTTCAAGAATATAGGTGTCTGTCAAATCAGAAGTCTACAGATTTCATCATCATCATCAACATCATCATAGTGTTAAATGTCACATAGTCTCACAGTCTAGTCATTGATTGCATTCTGTCCTGTGCAGTCCTCTCGATATAGTTGGTTGAGTCTGGTCCAGCGCCTCTGTTTCCCAGCAACGTTCATCTCAGGGTTTCTGTTGGATATCCTTATTTCCTCAGTCCATTTGTTTCCCATTTCAGTGCTTGTTTAATGATTTTCTCTCTGTTTCTCCTAATGTTGTGCCCACTGTAGTGCCATATTCATTGTCTTATAATTGATGATGCAAGGGGTTGCCCAGACTCCAGACATTTCTCTTATTTCTTCAAGTGTCTTGAATTTGTCAGTTTCCTCTCGCATATGTTTTTGATTGCATTAAATTTCATTCAATGTCTATGTACGAGAGGAAGTCAATAAATAAGTCGCAAATGGTTGTTTACCCCCCCCCCCCAAAAAAAAATTAGAGCTTGAAACCCATTTATTTTTACACACACACTGTCCCTTTATTTTTTTACATAATTTCCACCATCATTCATACACTTGTCCCATCATTTTATCAGTCCTCCAAAACCTGCTGCATCGAACTATGTGTCCGTGATCTAAACCACATTTTCACTTCACTTTCAACTTCTGCATCATTCGTGAAATGTCTCCTGCCAAGGTTAAAGGTAAAGTCGGGAGATGTAAACCGCGTCATTGCACACTGTTATAAACCATAAGTGCCACCAGTACAGACATCTGATAAGAATTGTCCGCCTGTGTCGCCGTTTGCACGTAACTCTGTAGCTACAGCGACATTCCTCCATTTACCCCAGAGCGTCAACTCTGGTACCCATTTCCTAAAGGCTGGGTGAACCTCGGGAGCTGCCCGTTTTCAGTGGGCCGAAAAAGTAGAAAACGCTAGGGGCTAAGTTGGGGTTGGAAGGTGGATGTTCCAGGAGTTCCCACCCTAGATGGATAATTTTTCCTCTCAGTTAACCAAGCCGTGGTCTGGCATTGTCATGAAGGAGCAGTAGTCTTCTAAGCATGCCGGGACATTTTCTTTGAATTGCATCATGAAAGCATAAGTAGAACTTTACAGTATGAATCAACATTCACATTGTCACCTTTTGTGTGTGTGCATGTGTGTGTGTGTGTATGTGTGTGCGCGTGCATGTGTGTGTGTGTGTGTGTAAATGGTTAAAAGCACTCCTTGATAATCTCAGAACACTGTCAGCATAACCTTCTCTGCTAATGGCCTAACCTTGAATATTTTAACACAAGACAAAGAAGGATGTTTCCATTGTATTGATTCTGGCTGGTAGTGATGCACCTATGATTCAAGATAAACATTTGCCAGCATATATGAGAAGCATTTCTTTATGAATTTCCTTTGCAGGCAGCCCTTTTGCACAAATAAAAACGCACAACAGCACGTTGTTCTTTGAGGGTAAACTCCATAAGTTCAATTGCCATTTTGTTTCTGTGTTGCGAATGCACATGCAGCATCTAGCGTCAACTAACAAATGGAGACGTAAAGTTCGATGTGGCTGTCACCTAATGACACCTTCAGAAACTACCAACTACATTTTCCTGCCATCCTACAACCATTTGTGACTTACTTATTGACTTCCCCTCGTGCATCAGTAATAAGTTTCAGCTGTTGTGTTTCACTGTTTTACCATTTTAAAGTTAAACTGTGGCATTTCTGCTTCTTTTAGGTTGGGTTTGTGTGTTCCAACTTACCAGAAAATGTATCCCAGCTTCAGTGGAGATATACGCACGTTTGGTAATTGTCAGCGATAGTTGTGTTAAATTTGTTGTATTAATTAACTTTTTCGTTTTCATACTGAAGATTTCTGTGACCAAGTGATTTAATGAATGAATCAATCAAGAATTGATATCACTCCACTTGGGACAATTCCACATTTAATTTATTTTCTAACCATCTAACTACCTTCTCTTCTACCTACTCCCTCTGGCTCCTCCTATTGCTGATTTTTGCCCCTTCTGCTCCTCTTCCTCTCTCTGCTGCTACTACTGAAAATTATAAATATCAGAGAGAAGTATTTTACATATGTTACTAACATGTTTACATGTGTTGTTCTTGTTCTCGCTAGATTGGTCTAATGCTGATTCCAGTGTTTTCAAAGTTCTGATTGCACCATGGTGAGCTTTATTGTGAACATTCATATATTATTTTTCCTAAAATAACATTTGCATTTGTTTCCTATGCTATTACTGAAACAGTGTAACATCCACATATGGGCAACACCACGGTCAACAAACAGAGTGAGGCATTGGAGAAGGCACTGACAGACACAGAGTTATCTGCTGGAACAGTGGGAGACCCCGCAGAATCCCTGACAGAGAAGGCGATACTGACAGTGCCCATGATCTCGTTCTGGTCTCCCCCGACATGCTTTGGGCATACTGGGACATCATGGAAGCGACCACCTTCCATACTCGTTTCTGGTCAAGAAAACGTGTACAAGGTCCCAGAAACTAGACACAGTTTTTAAGTACAGGGCATGCCAGACTGATGTAATCAGGCGTCTATGAGACAGGGTACATAAAACATAGTGGAAGAAGAAAGATGTCAGTCCACAACCCACAACCCCTATGGTGAACCATGAAATCACCAAGGTGTAGACAGTGAACGAAGTGCCACCAAATAATGGAAGAAATGCAGTAAGTCCTTGAGACTGTCTGATGCTCATAAGAAACCATTACAGAAATAAAAGATTACCTCACTGAACATCTTAAACAAATTGCAAGAGAGGCTAAGAATACTACATGGGAGACATTTGGCAATGAAATAGGGTGCAAAAACTCTCCCAGAAATCTAACTGAAGTGTGTAAGAGCTTATATACATCAAGTAAAAGCAGGTACATTGCAACCTTTTGAAGTAAATTGAGGAGGAAGACCAGAAAATGTATGTATGTGCTATCTCCCCTGCTTTTTATAACATACATCGACAATATATGCAACGAAGCAGTGATTGAAGAAGAAGAAAACAATGATATCTCAGAATTGTTATTTGCAAATGACGAAGTATTATTAGCTGATACAGAAGAGAGTTTACAGAACCATATAGACCAAGTCTATACTATGTGTGAGAAATATGATGTGAAGATAAGCATTGATGAGACAGAGGTAATGGTATGGTAATAGGTAGACAAGAAGAAACCATATCAATTAAAGTAAATAAACAGAAATGAAACAAACGGGCGAATTTAAATATCTAGGGTAATTTTTCACCTCAGATGGAAGAATGGATAGAGAAATCAACATACAATGTGCGAAAGCAAATCAGATTATCGGACAATTAACACCACTTCTGACACATAGACACCTCTGTCAACTAAAGCAAATCTCATAAAAATGTTTTTTTGGCCGACATTGTGCTACTAGTGCCCATGATGGACACTTACTACAAATAATGAGCGGAAGATCATAACAACAGAGATGAGATGTCTTAGGAGAGCTGCCGATGTGACAAAAAGAGATAAAATCAGGAATGAAGAAATTAGAAGAAGACTAGGACTGAACCTAGTCATACAATTCATTAAAGAATGCCCTTTTTTTTTTTACTTTAATAGAATGGAAATGGAATGGTTCTCTGGTACTCAGCTCATCCATAAAATACAGAACTGATACATGGTGCTTTGGTACTGGGCTCACCCAGGGAGGTTGAGCGTTTTTGATACTGGGGATAATAAAGAAGCAAATGATAAATGGTTAGGCTAGCAGCACAGAGAAAAACCATAATTCAGACCTAAAATAAAACCATAGAAATGTATTTTAAGAAAGTATGGCAGCATGGAGGGATATCATCAAGAAAGCTGTTCCAGGGAACCAAGGATCGTGATCTGTGGAGATGCATGAGCGCCTACACAAATTGTCAGGACACATGATGTTGATGACATTGGGCCACACAAAATGTCACAAGATATTTCTGGTCAAAAAAGATAGCACTCCTTATTTGGGTTTTGGGGTCCTATTGAGTGGGGCGCGGGGGGGGGCAATAGGCCCTCTGTCCCCTAACGAGCATGTCATTAAAGGTGACTTACTGAAAGTGTGCTCAAACTGGATGTTTTAGGCTGAAAGGTACAAATATCACATTATGCCAACTGCTATTTTACAGGAGAATGTAGAAGAAAGATATCACCATAACAGTTCTGACCTTTTTTACAAAAGTATTTTGACTTTAGAACTCTTTTTGGGGACTATTGTGGGAACTATTGTTGTAGACTCTTGTTGGGGACTATTGATGGGGACTATTGTTGTAGACTCTTGGTGGGGACTATTGTTGTAGACTCTTGTTGGGGACTATTGTTGTAGACTCTTGTTGGGGACTATTGTTGTAGACTCTTGTTGGGGACTATTGTTGTAGGCTCTGGTTGGGGACTATTGTTGTAGGCTCTTGTTGGGGACTATTGTTGTAGGCTCTTGTTAGGGACTATTGTTGTAGACTCTTGTTGGGGACTGTTGTTGTAGACTCTTGGTGGGGACTATTGTTGTAGGCTCTGGTTGGGGACTATTGTTGTAGGCTCTTGTTGGGGACTATTGTTGTAGGCTCTTGTTAGGGACTATTGTTGTAGACTCTTGTTGGGGACTATTGTTGTAGACTCTTGTTGGGGAATATTGTTGTAGACTCTTGTTGGGGACACTTGTCAAGAAATTCCTCAACAAAGGTATTGAATCTGGTCTACTGCATTAGTAAGTCATAGCTCTATCCCCAGTGCCAACGTGGTTTATGTGATGCTTTCATTTATATTGTACATATTGTCCAGGAATTATCACAAGAATATGAAACGCATGAAAGATTTGACTGGCAGCTTGGATGATATTGTTCACCTGTTACAGAAGGATCCAGACCCAAAGAATTGTAAGTGTAACGTGAGACTTGACAGAACTCATTGTCTGCTTTCACAACTACTCAAAAGTGAGACTTGACAGAACTCATTATCTGCTTTCACAACTACTCAAGAGTGAGACTTGACAGAACTCATTGTCTGCTTTCACAACTACTCATGAGTAAGACTTGACAGAACTCATTGTCTGCTTTCACAACTACTCAAAAGTGAGACTTGACAGAACTCATTTTTTTGCTTTCACAACTACTCATGAGTGAGACTTTACAGAACTCATTGGCTTTCACAACTACTTTAGACTTGACAGTAACTCATTGTCTGCTTTCTGATGTGAGACTTGACAATCAATCCTAAATACTAAAGAGTGAGACTTGACAGAACTCATTATCTACTTTCACAACTAATGAGACTTGACAGAACTCATTGTCTGCTTTCAGAAGTTGTTGACAGAACCATTATCTGCTTTTACAGCTATCAAGAGTGAGACTTGACAGAACTCATTTTTTGCTTTCACGGTACTCGAGAGAGACTTGACAGACTCATTGTCTAGTGTAACTACTCAGAGTGAGACTTGACAGAACTCATTATCTGCTTTCACAACTACTCATGACTGAGACTTGACAGAACTCATTGTCTGCTTTCACAACTACTCAAGAGTGAGACTTGACAGAACTCATTATCTGCTTTTACAGTTACTCAAGAGTGAGACTTGACAGAACTCATTTTTTGCTTTCACGACTACTCAAGAGAGAGACTTGACAGAACTCATTGTCTGCTTTCACAACTACTCAAGAGTGAGACTTGACAGAACTCATTATCTGCTTTCACAACTACTCATGACTGAGACTTGACAGAACTCATTATCTGCTTTCACAACTACTCAAGAGTGAGATGTGACAGAACTCATTGTCTGCTTTCACAACTACTCAAGAGTGAGACTTGACAGAACTAATTTTTTTGCTTTCATACTCAGTTAGTAGACTACATTAATCATTTTTTTGCTTAGTAACTACTCATGACTGAGACTTGTTAAAACTTATGCTGCTTTCACATCACTAAAGTTTAAGTGAAGCGACAGAACTCATTATCTGCTTTCACAACTACTTATAAGTGAGACTTTACAGAACTCATTATCTGCTTTTACAGCTACTCAAGAGTGAGACTTGACAGAACTCATTTTTTGCTTTCATGACTACTCAAGAGAGAGACTTGACAGAACTCATTGTCTGCTTTCACAACTACTCAAGAGTGAGACTTGACAGAACTCATTATCTGCTTTCACAACTACTCATGAGGGAGACTTGACATGAACCCCCTCTGCTTTCACAACTACTCTTGAAACCCCCACTTGACTTCTTCATTATCTTCTTTCACAACTTGGTTCAAGAGTGAGACTTGACAAAACTCATTATGGGTTGCCACTATGAAGTCATGAGGGAGACAACAGAGCATTATCTTTCACAACTATTCAGCTCTGCACTCTTGACAAAACTCATTATCTGCTTTGTCTTTTTAATCATGAGGGAGCTTGACAAAACACAGAGCTGCTTTCACAAACACTCAGAGTAGTTTGGGGATGGATACAGAACTAGTTTACAAACAGTAAAGGGGCATGTCTGATGTATCTACAATAAATCCTAAATGTAACTAGAAGAGACAGGATCAGAAATGACCACATCAGGACAGAAGTTGTGTACATTGTTTCAGTATCCTATCTTGGCATTCACAGTCTCTAATCTCTAGTGGCAAGTTTTGGTTCTTTGTCCACATCTGGGCTTTCTTCCAGAACTTGAGTTTTGCGTGCACATCTATTTTACAAATGTGGCTTTTTGTATACAGGCTGTTGGTATCTTGACTCTTGGGCAAGTGCACTCTGACTTCGAAGGAAACCACCCTAATTGTTGTATCTCCCCAAGTATAAGACAGTCTCATGTGTAAGACACACCTTGATTCTGGGACCAGTAATTTTGAGGAAACAAATAATAGATTACATAAAGTTATTAAACTCACATTTTATTCATTATATAATCCAGAAAACTCCTCATCATTGTCAAAACTCTCATTGATATCATAGTTCTTTAGATTGTTCTAGTTTGTATCTGATGAGAAATCCCTATCTTTTAATATTGCCTCCTCCTCAGTTCCATCTGTGGCATTTAAAATATCCAGCTTCTTGAATGACTTGATCTCATTCTTCACAGTATCCAAATATCTTTTCACCCAGGTACAAACTTTTATAGTGGTTTTTTCGGTACTTAATTTATAACTTACCCCTGACGTCACGACAACGTCACGGGAGACATTCCAAATAAATTCTAGGGTGTTCAGGTTGTAGTTTCTCGCGATTTATCTACAGCCAAGTTTAGGGTTAGGGTTAGCGTTAGGGTTAGCATTAGAAGACACTAGATTAACACTCAAAAAAAGCACCACACAACAGCACACTTCCACCCCTTGAAATAATGGACTGTCAGGTCAGCTGTGGATTTCCCTTGGGGATTTCCTGTTTGGGGTACGTTATAAATTAAGAACCGTTTTTTCACACTAGCTGCTGGTGCCAGATTGTCCCCAGATGACTTAATCCATTGGTTCCATTAATCTCTTATGGTAACTTTAAAGGGTTTGTTAATGCTGTCATAAAGTGGTTGAATCTTGGAGGACACAGGAATTTCTAACGTAGCAAAAGTAAAACACTGAGTGTGAAAACTAGTGCAATAAATATTACAGCAGGAAAGAACTTTTAATATGATAATTTTTTTCTATTTTCATGTTGCCCCTCAACCGGCATTCTCAAATATTTCCTAACAAATCATTAGGTAAAATTCTACAACCAGTGTATAAGATGGACACTGTTTTTAGACCCTATATTTTGGGAAAATAAGTGTGTCTTGTTCTTGGGAAAATACAGAAGTCACTTCCTACGACCTGCCCCCTGAACCCATATTGTGAAAATATCCCGTTATCATACTTTACAAAAAAAATATAGAACAGGTTTTAAAGTGCTTATAACTAAATATCATGTTTTATTACAGGGAACCTGGACTTGTTGTACCACCTGTACTGGGATGTCATGCATATCGAACCACAGCTTGTTGCCTTTATGAACATGTGAGTTCAAAATGTCATCATTATACTGAAGTTTATATTGTATACAATTTATGGTAGCTATGTGAGCTCTGTATAAGAACTGATTCCGGCAATTCTGACTGGTTCCCGGTGGAAACAGGAGTGAAGCAAGGCTGTGTCCTATCGCCGATGCTTTTTGGTATAGCAATCGACTGGCTCATGCACAAGTGCATAAATAACGCAAATTTAGGCATTACATGGGTTGACAAAATTCTGGAAGACCTAGACTTCGCCGACGACATAGCACTCCTGAGTTCAGAACACACAGAAGCCCAAGAAAAAATCAATCGACTCCAGAATTTCTCAGAACAAATTGGACTCCAAATTAACACCGCAAAAACAAAAATTCTAGACCTTACCAACAGTTCAGTTGATATCACGCTGAACAACAACAGCCTTGAAAAAGTCAACAGTTTCACTTATCTAGGGAGCAAGATGTCATCTACAGGAGATACCGCACCAGAAATATCATTTAGAATAGCACTGGCATCTAGTGCCTTCAATAAACTGTCTAACATCTGGAAATCAAAGACACTTAGCAAATACACAAAACTCAAGATCTTCAATTCTTGTGTGATTCCAGTACTAACCTATGGATGCGAGAGCTGGAAATCAACGAAAACTCTAGACACAAAATTAGACAGTTTTGAAAATAAATGCCTTAGAAGAATACTAAATTTCAAATGGTCAGATTTCCGAACCAATACACAAATAAGACAAGAATCCAGGCAAGAGTATGTGTCTAATTTTATACGAAAACGCCGCTGGAACTATGTCGGCCACGCCCTTAGAATGAATAAATCAAGACTTCCTTACCAAGCCCTCATTTGGACACCACAGGGGAAAAGATCTCGTGGAAGACCAAGGGAAACCCTACGTAGAACTATCATCAGGGAAGTTTAATGCTTCATGAAGTTCTTGTTTTTGTGTGTTATTGTCGAGATTTTGTCCTTTTTATTTTCATTATGGTTTAATTACACATGGATTGTTGTTAGTTTGTTGTTTAGTGTACAGTAAAGAGCCCATTCCCATACCTTCAGGCTTATTGGACATACAGTGCTAGACCTATATTTTATAGGCCAGTTGGTGATTGGTGGGGGATGTAGTCAACGTTATGCCGGCCACTTTCACTTCCCAGGACTTTACCTGGTACCCATTTAAGACTGGGTCGACTTGGGAGCCAAGAATATTTTTTCTTTGAAGAAGAAGAAGAAAGTCCGACTCTGTTTGGATTTGAACCCACAACTAAAGGATCTGCAGGTGAGCATCTATCTGCTACACCATGGCGGCTTCCTGTTAGTTATTGAGCCTGCCTATTATCCCAAGTATTTGCAGAATTTGTTGGTGCCCCGTTACAACTCTGGGATTAGCTTGCAGGACGTGACGATTCCTTGGGTGAGCCCAGAACCAGAGCGCCATGTGCCGGCTCTGCATGCATGGAAGCCTCCTTGGATGGCGGGGGAATGCCCATGATCTGCCCCTGCCTTCCCTTGAGGGCCAACTGTTCCACAGGGGGTTGCCCCAAAGGGGTACTCCGGGGGGCAATACCTGCGGCGAAGGAGACAAGGCGGACACCACACAAATCAGGCAGTCTCGACCCGACACACAAACACAATGGCCACAGTCACCCTAGAAATAGGCCTGACGTCTTCCTTCGAAGTCGGCGTACAGCTGCCCAAGAGGCAGGGAAATTAAAAACGGTTGTACACGCAAAAATCAGGTCCAGGTGAAGGCCAAAAGTCCAAGCGGACGATTAACCGGGACCTTCCACTGGAATTCACAGCCGGTGTTCGATGAAAAAAAAAAAACTTATATAGCTGGTTTTAAAACTGTTGCATAATTTGTATGAAAGCCTAACACATTAAGGTTCGATGAGAGAATTAGCCATGGGGATAACCTACCCACTCTGTTGCATATCATCTTTTAGTGTCAGTTTCATGTTTTTGTTTGACCAGTTATCATTCGATGGGTCATGAGGTCAGAATCATGCCGACTGTGTTAACTTCCCAAAATGTTTCCTAGTACCCATTTAAGGCTAGGTTGACCTTGGAGTTAAGGTCACTGAAAATCGATCTGAATGGGGATTTAAAAATAGGTTTTGCTGAGTGGGAGGAAAAGACATGTGTGACTGCTGAAGAAAAAATATTAAAGAATTTAGGAATTTAGAATACATTTGAAGTTACCCTGGTAAGTCAGGTGACTAGAGTGAACTTCCAGCAACTAGACCAACACGATATGGCAAGAGAAACTATTAGCAATTCAGTGGAATTATTTAGTTGTTGTGGTTCATTATATGTTGATGTAACTGTAGGAATGCAATTGACAAGATACAGCGAAAATATGTCTGGCAATAAATTGTGCAATGTGTTGTTTTTTTTCTACATAGTTTAAAGATATTTAAGTCTGCTTATGTTTTGCATACACTTTTCAGCTCCACATTTTTCAGCCCCACCTTTGAAAACGAAATCACCTTTGAAAACGAAACCACCTTTGAAAATGAAACACTGTGTGACAATGCCACATACTGTGATTTGTTTGATGAGATGTAAGAAACAAAATGGAGCATTTTGCTGTAGTTTAATTCTTCCACTAAAAGAATGCTGACTGATTGTCATAACACACAGGTTTAACTAATTTTCCTGAACAGTTTAGAAATCTTAACAGTTGCAGCATGCAACCAGTCTGACATAATAGGCACAATTGATCTTTTGCTCTGTGAGACCATTATCAGAGAAACAGAATGTCTGATGCCACTACCAGAATAAAAAAAATGTTTTTCTTGTTTTCTTCTTGTCATTGTAGTTCTGTTTCTTTGTTAGTGGGCTCACATGCCAAAATATTGTATGTGCATGTGCTTGTTGATTTTGTGAAACTAATGACAAACCTATTTTTGCGTACTTCCTGCTTTTTAATTCATTGAATACCGGCAACTTACCATGTTTATTTTTAAACTTTATATGTAGCGTATGCATTTCTTATCTTCTCCTGCCCATTTATTCCGTTAATTAATTTATTTGATCCAAACGATTGCTGTAACCTCTCCTATTTCAGTCTTGCATTTTTTTTTTTTAAAACTGTTTGAAGCCCAGAAGTTTATACTCAACAGCATTTCCAGAAAACTAACATCATTCAGATATGCAGTGATATTGAGGCTGAGACTTATGTGGAGCCTGAGATAATGGCTTCCAACAAGGGCGGTCAAAGGACAACATGATCAGACGAGTTATGGGGAGCCATGTAAAAATAATCTTTGGCATGTATGATATCATTTCCCTCCATTCCTGTGTGGGCATTGCAAAATCTTTAGTGCAAGACAGGCTGGCATACGACATCACACCATCTAGCATGAGAATGGAGGTGGAGGCGGCAACTGCAGCTCTCCGGTGGATAGAGAACATGATGCATGCTCATGTCTTAATTGGAACAGACTCTGAAGGCATGCTGAGAAAGGTGAAGACAGGAATGCTTCGAGCAGAGTGGCAAGCTCCACTGGGAAGGTCACGGGTAGTGAGCATATTTTTGATCTTTTCTCCAGGCCATGCCGGCGTAGTGGGTAATGAACAGTCGGACAGATTGGCTGGATCATACCACTGGTTGGTGAATTGATACATGACAAGTCAGATGTGGTCAATGTGCAATGGAATGAGTAGAGAAACAAGATTATTTTGGCTTGGATCATGTCTCTCCATATTCTGCGATCTCCTGCAGCATGTATCAGTTTGTGTGCCGACACACCTCCATGCCATGCAACAAGACTGTCAAGCATCTTCTCTCATTGTCTTCCTCTATCCCTCCTTCCACAGATCTTTCCAGTCATCACAACATGTTCTATTTTCCCTCTTCTCATAACATGGCCGAAAAATGATGACTGTCTCCTTCTGATGTCTGTGATAAGTTGTCTTCGGGCTCTCGCCTCTTTCAAAACCTCTTGGTTGCTCTTTTTGGCTGTCCAAGATATTCTAAGCATTCTTCTGTAAAACCACATCTCTGAGGCCTCAAGAAATTGTTTGGCCTGCCTACAACTTGTACAATGCATTGAAAAAAAGCGCACAAGCGAACTTTACATCTCCCCCCAACACCTCGTAGAGTTAAATGGTGGAAGAGAAGAAGAAGAAGAAGAATCGGTAAGACCATTTTCAAACACTAATGCTAACACAGAATTACTGCTTTTATTGCCAACTTGCATGTACCAGGTTTCGCCAGGTATAAGACGAACATATTTTCAAAAAAATGTAGTCTAAAAACAGAGTTTGTCTTATTCATTGGTAGTATCATATTATTTTGTTTCTAAATTTCCGATCCCCAAATCAAGGTGAGTCTCACACCTGGGATGATCTTGGGCAAATACGGGAATTACAAGAACTAATCATTGAAATGACTCTCTCTGTCTCTCTCTGTCTCTCTGTCTGTCTCTCTCTCTGTCTCTGTCTCTGTCTCTGTCTCTGTCTCTCTGTCTCTGTCTCTGTCTCTCTGTCTGTCTCTTTTTCTCTCCCTCTCTCTGTCTGTCTCTCTCTTTCTCTCTCCCCCTCTCTGTCTCTCTGTCTCTGTCTCTCTCTCTCTCTCTGTCTCTTTCTCTCTCCCTCTCTCTGTCTCTCTGTCTCTCTCTCTCTCTCTCTCTCTCTCTCTCTCTCTCTCTCTCTCTCTCTCTCTCTCCCCCTCTCTGTCTCTGTCTCTCTCTGTCTCTCTATCTCTGTCTCTCTATCTCCGTGTGTGTATGTGTGTGTGAGTGCGTGCGTGCATGCGTGTGTGTGTGTGTGTGTGACAGAACTTGTGATGTCATCTACTTCATGCTGATGGACAGATGGGGCCTGAGCACCTTTTGACTGAATTGTTTGATATATAATGAAATTGATCTACCCACTAACAGTTTTGGCATGCCCTTATGAGATTTTTGAAATAACAGAATGTAGATGTAACAATGTTTAGGTTAAAATTTAAAATATTTGATTCTTCCATTTATGTTTTAAAAGTTAGTGATATTT